CCGCCTACCGGGGGGCCTACATAACGATGCTGGAACCTTCAGTCCACGCTCTGACGTACAACCTGTATGGTACCTCCAGCCAAATCCTAAACGACTGACATTTTCGCATTCTGTGCCTTTCGCACCTGCATTCCGTGTCTAACTGCCTTGCCTTTTTTTCTCGTCCAAGGAAGAGCCTCAGCGTGCCTTCTACGGTTCCCTGCCCCATGCTTTTCGCGCCCTGCCGTCATCACACTGCAGGTCCCCAGTGTTTTGTTTTCTTTTGTTTGCTGCCCCTACATCTGGGAGAATAAATGGTGGCAAGCCACCACAAAAGACTGCCAGACATTCCCTCTTCGTTTTTTCGCTACAGGAGTTCGGTTCTTGTCAAGCCTTAACAGTGACGCAGCCTTAAGGTCAAGCAAGAGAGCTCTGTACATAGCTGCTTGAGCTGACCTGATAAGAGGAGTCAAAAGACCCAAGAAGGACCACAGGATGTGCATAGAGTCCCACCTGGTCAGTAACAACACAAAGGAGGTGTGGTGAGGCATAAAAGACATCACAAGCTTTAGAGGCTGTGATCCTAAAATGTGCAATATTCCATCCTACAATGTACAATATTTACACACATATATTTAACAAATCATTTTGCAATACGTTTTATTTCTGCAATGTACAAACATCCAGGACTGTGCACATGACCCCTTAATGATTATACTGTATATATTTCTGATAATCAATTATTAGATATTTCTGCACTGTTTGGAGTCGTCTTTAATCTCGTTGTAAATGTTTATAATGACAATAAAAGGCATTGTGATTTTTATTCTGATTCGTCTATCCATCCAATTAGCGATCCATGCCATGTTAATTCAGTTCAGTGTCTCCTGGACCTGCAGGCAATCCCAACAAACACAGGACAAGAGGCAGGGTACAACTTGGGTAGGTCGTCAAGAAACATGAAAAACGAAAATATGGTTACATGAGATTAAACATCAATTTCCCACCCTTCTCCAGAACTGATCTGGACTTAGCAGATGGAATTCTGTATTATTGCTTAAGGGTCACAAGGTGGCATTATGGAGTTATGTCAAAATTCAGTAAACTGTCTCTGCACGGGTTCAACTTCTTTTTTTCTTGAGCAAAAACAAAATTTCATTAGATTTCCAAGTCATGTATCCCTGAAGACACTATGACCATCACACTGCAAATTTCATAAAAGTGAAAAAAATTCAGAAACTAGAAAAGAACAGACAAACTACTGGAAAAATTATGAAATGACGAGTAAGGGAGCCAAAATAAGATTCCAACAATAAAAAAACAGTGGGTACAACAAGTTTGATTAGACCTACATGTCTCCATTAACTATCTTGATTGAAAAGTCGTGGCTACATCTGTGGCAAACAAGTTTAGATTTTTTTCCCTGTCTCACACTGATGTCCACGAGACATCAGTGTGAGACAGGGAAAACAAGCATAGCAAGCATAATATAGGGGCTATTGAAATTTCAGAGGAACAGACTATTTTACTTTACATTTTTTTATCACTGATTTAACAAAAACTCATCTCTTCACCCATCTCATATGACAGAAAATAAAGAGAGAATAAGAAACATAGAAGAAAGTGAGTCTTACATGTCACCTCAAATAACAGAATCCAGTTTTTTGTTACACCTTTAACACATTCACACTGAGACAGACTTACCTATCAAAGTACAGGATTGTTTTATCACTTCAGTGAATCAAAGGCCCCATTGTCTGCATACTCCACACTAATTTGAAGCAGATACAAAAATCATACGTTTCTTTACACTGGTATATAATTTTGTCACACAGTTCTTCTATTGTAGACGTGTGTGTGTGTGTGTGTGTGTGTGTGTGTGTGTGTGTGTGTGTGTG